CTTTCCACCATGGGTGACCCTGCTGGTTATTTAAAACACCGGTGGCATAGCCCTCAGAATCACAGCAACTCAGACTACCACAGCACGACAGACAGACGAATGGTGGCTGTTTGGTAAAAGATACTCTTTTAAAAAAATCCCACCTCTGCTCATCTCTTTCCCTTCCAGCAGCCTCAGTTTACATTTGGTGGGGATCCTTTCAACTGTTTCCTATGTGTATACAAACATGTAGATATATAAAACATTTTGTGTACAAAAATTAGGCTACTTGGTGACTAGCTTTCTTTTTATTAGAGTATGAGACATTTTAAATATAAATAGCACATAGGAAACAAGTGCTCAAGGGATTACACAGTTTGCACACACATACACAAAGTATAGTGTGTGTGTCTCCCTTAAAAATATGGTATAAGAAATAAAGAATGTATAGTGCGTATCTAACAAAAACCATGTATACTATATATTCGTAATAAATGGTAACAGTTTGCCAGTAGATTCAGATGAAAAAGGAAACCATAAAGTGCCACTCTCTCAACATTTTACTTAAAAAGTATTGCTTATGCACTTTGAGATTCATATAGAATGACAGGATATTTTAAAAAACACAGTCTGGTCTTTAGATGTGGGTTTAATGGCAGGGCTGCAAAGTCAGCTTGAACTACAAAATTGGAGGATCTAGATTATCAGCCCCTTGGAAGCGCTATACAGGGTCGCTATGGGTTGGAACCTGACTCCGTGGCATTTAACAACAACATGGCTGTATCATGATTTGTCTACCCAAACCAATTTAACCAGCAATGAGTTAAATCCAATTTATATTAACCCTATTGGACAGAGAAGAGCTGCCCCATAGGAGTTCCTAGGCTGTAATCTTCATGGAGGAAAAGGAGCTCTGGTAGCATAGCGGTTACCAATCGGGCTGCGAACTTTAAGTTCGTCAGCAGTTCGAAACTACCACCGACCCCCATCCCTAAACTAGTCAAATGTATTTTTTCCTTACTAAAGTTTTTGTCTATTTAGATCCAGGATATACAGGGTCGGACTCAGATACCGTCTTCCTCAGGCTTATTTAGCATAGGGACTACCTTCGGGCTCCTGGTGTGGCTCTGTAGGATCGGCTCTGGACTGTGAACCACATGGTCGTCTGTTCAAACCCACCAGCTGCTCCTCCGAAACTAGTCAGGCTCACTAAGTAGGAACCGACTCGACGGCTCTTAACAACAGGGCTAGCTCCACGACCTTCCTCCCAACATGCTCCCCTAGGATATCGGGTTCTTTGATGCAGTGATTTCTAGTTTCCTTATCTGAAAAACAGGGACGACGCCACTATTCACTCTGCTACCTTTGGAGACTCTGGTAGTGTAGCGGTTACGAATCGGGCTGCTAACCTCAGGGTCAGCAGTTCAAAACTACAGTGGTTCCGTGGGAGAAAGATAAGGCTTTCTGCTCTCGTCAAGATTTGCAGCCTCGGAAACCCTATGCAGGATCGCTATGAGTCGGAATCGACCCACGGTACAAGACCACCACCACCTTTGGAGATGTGACAACAAAAAGACAAGAAACTGACATTTCTTAACCAATCTAGGTACCAGACGCTTTTCTTGCTTTACACAACAGTGGTCTGAAAACTTCAAAAATCTTTCCATGCACAAGAGGATAGGTTGTTCGAAACAGTTAGATTTGAAACAATTTTGGGGGCCGGGCGTCAGTGTGAGGAGAACTAGTCACTCCCAGGCTTCCAAGTCAAGGCAGAAGCTGGAAGTGGCAGGGCACGCCGTTTCCCAGGTAACGCGGCTGGCTGGGACTTACCTTAGTCTCTACGGTGGGCCCTTCCCGGTAGCCGACCCGCTCCTTGAAGCGAGCCAGGAATGCTGGCTCGGCTGGTCGCACGTAAGACACCTGATTCCGTTTGCTCATGGCGGCTCTAGAAACAAACAAGTTTCTAGGACCGACTCATGACGTGTAAAGCAGACGGCGCTTCTCCGTGACGTCAACAAACCCCGCCCCCTAACGCGGAGCGCGAGCTACCAGCGGCTACAAAGCTGGCGTCAACGTGCGACCCGAGCGCCAAATTCAAATCCGCAGCCATTTTGACTGCGGAATCCCGTCGCGCGGCGTTGCAGAGGCGGAAGCTTCTGCGATTTTGGCACCAGGATTGGGATCCGGAACTGAGGATCCATGGCGCCCGGCTGCAAAAGTAAGTAAGAACCCTCAGCTTCGTAAGCGGGTTCACGTCCCCAAATACAGTTGGGAAAGGATGGCTACCCGTGGCCGCTCCGAAGATTGCCGCTGGGTGTGAAGGCTGGAACTGACTGAACGTCGAGGGGGTGTTTAGAATCTGTCCGTCAGAGATAGTACCCTGGCAAGGAATGGGGCCGCTATCATCCTTTTCATCTTTGTGTTGGGCCCTTGCAACGATCCTGACGCTGTTCTAGGCGCTTGGGATCTGAATTAAGAGCCCTTTTCTGCTCTGTGAGATCGAGTCATCTCGTTGGCAATGGGTGGGTGAGGGGTCTGGCGCCTAGGGACCCTCTCATCCGTTTCTCTTGTTCTCATAGTCCTGTCGTTTCGTCGCTGGTCCGGACCAGGGCTACTTCTCTAGGTACTGCTCAGACAAAACACATTTTGAAAACCTTACGTTAGAAGCTAGGAAAACTTCACAAAATTTGTTTTGCCATTTGAGCCTTTCAGCAGCTTTAATGTTTCTTTGCGTCGGTTATTATTGTTTACAGATGTGCTTGTTTTGTTAACGTGGTAGTCCCTATTGAACCTTTTAGGATAGCCACTCCTTTTTTTAAATACCTCATTCTCCCTTTTTTCATCTAAGAATTTCCTTTTTTCCCCACCATTTTCAGTTTTCAGAGAATATGAGCACACAAATTTTGGTATATTGTTGGGCACGAATGTTCAACCCGTTTTCCTACACGGCCGTAGTAGTTGTTATTCGCTTTCAAGGTTTTTGTTTTGTGTTGTATTAACCATATATGAAGGAGCTTGAAGTTCATGGGAAAAATAGAATGAAAACATACTAGTGTTTTCCCATGAATTGTGTTTAAGCCACCTCGTGTGTTACATTTGGACAGTAAATCTGAACTCACATAGGACATCATGGAAAATGATATTTCTATGTGAGTGTGTATTAAAGGACTTTACCTTTGACTCCTGGTTTGGCACTGTGGGTCAGCCCTGGACTGTGAGCCACAAGACTGGCAGTTGGGTCACTATGAGTCGGAACTGACTTGATGCCACTTAACAACGACAACCCTAATCTCTAAAGCTGGACTTGAAACCCTTTCTAAAAGTGATGGGAGCAAGGGGATTCACAACTCCACTTTTGTGAGGGTGGATTACCATGTGGAGCCCCCCTTCGCCCCAATAAATACTCTATTTAAATTTGTTAGTAAAGTTGAGATTAATGACAGGATGACATCCCAGGTAAAGTGCCTCTTAGGTTCCCAGCAGTACAGAGACCTGGAGGATGAGGTGGAATACAGGGGAGCAAGGAGACGAGCATCCATGTAGTGCTCTGTGATTTTTACTTTTTGTTACAAAGCTAGAGATTGCTGACTATGTAGTGTGAGAAAAAGAAAAGTAATTCTACTGAAGTTGAGTTTAAAGTTCTCTTTCTGAATATCATCTCATTTGGTCAAATGAGTATATATCTAGACAGGAGTAAGGCACTTTAGGATGCTTTTAAAGCAAAGTGGTGTCTTTAAAATGTTACTGTTTTGTTGAGGTGTAACTTGTAGTAAAATGCACACATTTTTAATGCATTCTTCTATGAATTTTTACATACATTCAAATAATTGCCACACAGACCAAGAAGTAGAATGGTTCCTAAACTGTTTCCCTGTGCCTTTTTATAGTCACCGTATACTCTCACCTTTACTCTGATTTCTATCACTGTTGATTAGTGTTGTTTCTTTTCATTAAATATTGTCTACATCATCCATCTTTTGTATGTAGCTGTAAAATTTGCACTGGAGGTGTCATCAGACATCCTTGTCTATCCTGTTAAGGGAGAGGGAAGAGAATCAAGATCATCATTAACCAGGATGATTTGTATAAGGTGGAGGTCAAACCTGCGTCCTCCAATCTTTTTACCAACTTTGATACCAACCGTCCCTCCCAAGGTACTTTCTACTTCTCTGCTGGGTTCAATAATATGTGGTAATGACCACACTGAAATCACAATTCATGCTCATGATTATGGGGTTTATTAGAAAAGTAACAGGGTACATTTCAGGATTAGGAACCATTAAGAATACAATTCTTTAGTTAGGACAGCGCCTTAGTATTGTCCAAAGTCAGGCCTCTTCCTCAGCCCCTGGGCCGCTTGGCCTGGGTTCTGCCCTGCACTGTCAATTGTTGCAGAGTTTGTTAGCTTCACTGATTAAGTATCTGGAGACACACCACTCTGCCAGGAAGCCAACCTTCCTGTCTTGCATCAGTCTTCTGGTTCTGCTGCTGCTGCCATTTCTCTGCTACTGCTTCTGTCTGTCCTTAACATCTCTAGTGCTATATAACTCTCTTGCTCCGTCTCATGTGTGTAGGAGATCCTTAGTGCAGGGACCACGGGTTAAAAAAGATGCTGAAAAAAACCTTGTGGGAGCCATGTCTGACTTCCTCTGGCTTCACAAGGGGGAAAGAGAAACAAACTCAAAATCAACCCAAGGATGATTCATATGAAGCAGAGGTCAGACATGCTTCCACCCCACAACCTTCTTTACCTTATTCTGACACTAACATCCCTCCCACAGCACACTCTGCTTCACATCTGCGTTCAGTAATCCATTGCAATGGCCACATAGCACTTGAACAGCAATACTCGTGATTATGGTATTTATTAGTGAAGTGAACAGGTTACAATGCAAGATAAAAACAACTCAAGATGCAGCAATTTTCCAACCAGAAACACTTCTTTGCCATATTATTGACATGCCACAAAACCATAGTGAGAAAAGCTGTTCATCACACCAAAGTAGTAGCATTTATGTATTCTTTAGTTCTGTGCATTGTGACATTACTTGAATATAACACAATTTGTTTATTCTATTGGTGGACGTTTTGGTTTCCAGATGGGGCTATTACGATTAAAACTGCTGTGACTGTTCTTCAGAATATTTTAAGTTGGACACATAGAGACACTGAAGTTGAAAGAATTTTACAGTGACTGCATATAGAGGACTTTTTTGTGTTTGTGTCATGAACTGAGTCATGGTTTACATGGGAAAACATTGGGTTTATACCATCGTTTCATTGCAGTGATCACAATCTCCTCCATGAATCATCATTCAACAGTATGTGCTTTCATTCCCTCTTGTTTGTTTGTTGGGTTTTTTTGGGGGGTGGGGTGGGGGATGTACACAAAAACACTCAGGAATATATAATAATTAAAACAACCAAAGGGCACGTTCTGCAAACCTGCCTGCTGACTGCCAGCACCCAGTTCCTCTCCATGAGTCCAGCCAGAGTTCTTAGCTGCTCTCTTTTCTCCATAGAGGACTTTCTTTTAATGTCAAGATTTTATGGCAGCACATGATAGACTGTTATGCGCCCTCTGGCAAAAATTGGTTAAGAGTACAAACTCTGGATCCAGAATGTCTGAGTTCAAATTTTATCACTTCTCACAGAGTCCTGGTCTGGGGCTGTAGATTGCTAACCATAATGTCAGTGGTTCAAACCCACCAGCCGCTCTTTAAAAACCCCATACAGGGTCGTTATTACTTGCAATTGACTCAACAGCACTTAACAACAACATGATTGAGTTTCCTCATAGCTCAATTAAAAATATTGCCAGAACTGTAACATAGTCCATAAAGACCATAGTCTACATCCTACTTTGGTGAGTAGCAACTGGGATATTTACCTAAGGACAAGATTGAGAAGGGTGGAGAAGAAAGGAAGAGAAACAGGAAACACAGGGAGACTATGTTACATTGGGGGGACTGCAGTCTTTGAGATGAAATGAAGTGTGTGATTTATTGAATGTAAGACTGATGATCTGCTGTCAACCTTTGCTCAAGTCACAATAAAAGGTTTTTGGTTTTTTTTTTTTTAAAGGTAAAACAAGAATATTGCCAGAACTATCTACCTCTGAGCAGTGTTAAATTTTGTTTTATTTCCAACTGTTGGCTTACTGGAGTCCTGGTATGGTGCTGTGGGTTAATGTGCTGGACTGCAAGGTCGGTGTGAACCACAAGGTTGACCATTCAAGCTCACTAGCCACTCCTCAGAAACCCAATACAGCGTCACTATGGGGCAGAATCAACTTGACAGCACTTAACAACAACAACAACAACAACGTTGGCTTACTAGGAGTCCTGGAGTGGCACTGTGGGATAATGCACTAGACCGCAAGGGTGGCTGTTCAGATTCACCAGCCGCTCCTTGGAAATCCTAAGTAGGGTCGCTGTGATGGAACCAACTTGGTGGCATGTAATAACAACATCAGCTTGTTCAAGAGTTCTGGTGGTGCTGTGGGTTAGATGTTGGGTACTTCTGGCAGTTCAAACCCAGAAGCCGTTCTGTAGGAGAAAGATGAGGCTGTCTGCTCCCATAAAATTTACAGTCTTAGAAGCCCTATGTAGGGTCTCTATAAATTGGAATTGACTCAGTTATAGTGGGTTTGATTTTTGGGTTGCTAGCTTTCTTTTTTTTTTTTTTAAGATAAACTTTTTAACTTGGAATAATTTTTGATTCACAGAAAAGTTGCACGTATGTGCAGATCAATATTCATCTGGTCACTGAGGAGTCTTCTCTCTCTGAACTTCTCTTTGGTGTTTAGCCCTACAAAAGCCTACTGCATCAGTTTCTCCAAACTCCAAATCCTTTCTTTGTCCCCAACTCATTGAGATTGCCAAGCTCTGTTTGAATTCGTCTCCCAGCACTGGGACCTGGAAACATGGGACAGTTAAGAAACTGGCGCAATTGAAGGACTCTGTTGGTTTTGTTTTTCTTATATCCTGTGCGTAGTTTTCCCAGTTAAGACAGGAAAGTAACCCTAGGGCCATCAAGGGACAAGAGCATGAGTGGAATGTTGGACCGTATCCAGAGAAGCAGTGGACACCAGAGATTGAGGCAGAGATGAGGACATGGAGAGAGGGAGCAACTGAGGACTCTAGACTCATGGAAAGACAGGAACTGAGTGCTCGCAGCCAGGAGGCAGACTTGCAGAATGTGCCCTTTGTTTGTTTA